GCAGCCACCCCGAGGTTGCCCAGAAGGAAATTTGGCCCTTAGGCTGAAAAGGTTTCCCCATCCCTGCCCTATAGTACACCCTCACATCTAGAAAAGGGTGATAATAATACTGTAAGGACTACTTACAGTTACTTACATTGATAATGTATGTGAAGTGATATGAATACGAACACACTACATAAGTAATCGTAAAGAGCTAAGTGTTTATAATGATTCGTTGATCATAGGGCACTCTCAAGCAGGGTCTGTGCTGCTTGGGCAACTACAAAAGAGGCAGCATTCACATTTGCAATTGATGCACTAACTGCAGGGGGGTCATAAAAGACATTTTTGTTACAGAATATTGCCATTTAGGTTCTGGGGAAATGTAATAACCAGCGCTGGATTTAGGGCAGTGTGAGCAGTTCCTCCTGTGTAAGACACCAAGCTGAGGGGCCGCAAAATACAAATACTGCTACTAATAAAACCCAGGGTGTTTTTCCCCCAGCCAGAACTTGCCAGAACTCAGTTCTGGCACCTCTCAGGTGGGTGCTATTTCCATTTTAAGAGAACAAAGGAGGTGTTCATGGTGAGTTCTGACACCTCTTTTTCTAGACAAAGAACACTGATAAAACTTATATTTATACAGGTACCAACTGAGAAGATCCATTAAAAACAACAGCTGTACCAAAAGGAATCATTGTGAAAATAGGAAATATTTAGGGGTTTGTGTGCCAAATTTTGCCCTTGCTCAGGGCACCATATTACCAAAGTCCGTCCCTGGTAGTGTGATCCTCTGCAACAAATGAGTGACAGCCTTGGACTAAAGTTTGCTAATTAAATTGACAAAAGGGAAAAATGGAATGGTCCCTGAGAGATTAGCATGAATTGCATTTGAGCTCCTGATATATATAGGGCTCTCTACTAAGGTGGGGAAGCGTTACACTAACTGCTTACCGTGAAAAGTGGCAGCCCAGTGGAAGCTGATGCCACGTTGATGGTTATCAAAGAGAGAGGGCTCCAAAACAAGGGATTGTAAGCTAGTCTTTCCCAGCTGCAAAACTGATTTAACCACCAGGAAGTCGGAAACACGAAAATGTGTCCAACATTAATTTCATTACTGAAAAGTACTAATAGACAAATGCTCAGTACTTCTTGATAAATAAACCAAATACCTGAGGATCCAGTGAAATTGCCAAACCACCAAATTAGTTGCATGGGCAGGAGCAGCAGGAAGTTGCTCCATTTACTTTAAATATTCCCATCGGCATATTGCCTTACAAGAATAAATTTCTTGTGGCCAGATTTCTAACCCTATACTATAGGGTCAGATGCATTTTGAATGCTATTTAATTTGCCTAGAGTCCAGAGAGTTCTTGTTTACTGGTTTATTATGCACTATTTTGTGCCACCAAGACGCTTTTTCCTGGTTTTGAACCAAAGTGACTTTTCCAGAAGCTTCCTAGCAGGATTGGCTCTGGCGGTGCAACTACACAGTCTTGATCTCTCTGCCACTTTGGGCTTTCCCCTCTCCGTCCTAGTAAGTGGCAGCAACACAGCTGCCAGGATGCTAACATTGCAGCTCCACCCCACCAGATAAGCTGCTTCTGGTTTTTTTAAGGTCTGCTGTTACCAGATCTGCCCATGTGAACCCCTATCTCTTTACTAGAGACCATTGCATGCTGCAGAGAGTATTTTCTCGCTGAGCTAACTAACAAACGGCAGCAAGGCAACCTTCCAGAATAGTTTTGACTCCTCACATCATTACGGGGCAGCAAAATGACTCCAACTAGAATGTATGAGCAAACAGACACATCTTTCCCCCATCTTTTACACTAAGAGGGCAAAACATGCGTGGTGAGCAGCTGCACAGAACAGGCACTTGGTCATCAAAGTCTGCTTCTGTGCATGATTTTGTGATGATATGATGTATGTATGTAGTCATTTCAAGGGGCTACCATATACCTGGAGATTATGGTTTGGATCTTAATGTAACTTAAGGAAGCTCACAGAAAAGAAGCTTCAGGCCTCCTCCTCCCCCTGCACCCAAAGCGTGAGATTTATTCCCTTTGTTTCCAATGTCTGTGTGTGGGGGGGGGGGGGACATGTGCTAGTCATAAGGCTGGCTTTGGTAGCATGTTGCGGGCCTGGGAGAACAATGAGTATAAAGGATCCATTTTTCCCCAGGATCTGCCACTGGTATGCTCCTTTTTGCCTTTACTAACATTGGAGCACTGAGATCAGTAAGGTAAGGGCTGCAGAGGTTTCCACAGCAACAGGGAGGGAGTTCACAAAGTTGGGTCTCAGTCTCTGAATCATCCCAGGGATGATAGGATTGCAGCCTTAAGGAAGACCACAGAAAGAAAGTTCCATAATCCATTCTCTCCTCGGCAACCCTCAGACACCCCACATTATTCAAGAGGGCCCCCATCCCTACCATTCAGGCTTGGGGGGTGCATGGATAGATGTCGGGGGTGGGGAAAGGAGGAAGTGGGAAACTTTGCTTCCATGACCATTCTTATCCTATGTGATATATCCCTGAGCCTTTGACACTCAACACTCATTATTTGGGAGAGAGTTCCCTTTCAGACATTAAAATCTGATCTCTGTTTCCTCCCCTTCCCCAATCTTTTTTCTTAAGTTTTACATTGCAAATTAAAATTCCAACGTTAAACATCAACATCATCATTTAGTATTCCCTGAATCCTTCAACTCCCCTCTGTCCTTCCATGGTTACAATTGTCATCTTTTTTCAATTGCTTCTCTTATTTTTTTCCTTATTACAAGCATTACTCAAATCCTGCCAAAGTTTTTAGCTGTTTACATTATAAATTTTTCCCATTCCTTCTTGAAGTTCTCCTCTTCCTGGTTTCTGATTTTCCTAGTCAGTTTCGCCATTTCGGCATAGTCCATCACCTTCATCAACCATTCATCTCTGGTCGGGACTTTGTCTTCTTTTCATCTCTGGGCCAGTAGCATCCGCGCTACTGTCATTGCATACATAAATAATTGTTTCTGCTCCTTTGGTATCTTTGCACCTAAAATTCCAAATAAAAAAGCCTCTGGTTTTTTTTTACAAATGTTATTTTAAACATTCCCCCCCAACTCATTATAAATCATTTCTCAGAATGCTTTTGTTATCTTGCACATCCATCACATGTGGTAGAATGTGCATCTGATCTTTGTTTCCTAATGCTAGAAGTGTATGACTTGACCTAAATATTTTGATTCTTTTATAAAGCCTGCTAGCCATAGAGGTAATGCTGTACACAGATGTATACTACTGATGTCTCTCCTTTTCTATGAATGCTGCAGAAATTGACAGAAAATTGAACACTGCATTCAGAATCTGATGTCATACTTCGAAAAGGAATTACAAAATTTGCAAGTTTCAAACTGGGGAAAACTGGTTCCCCCCGCCCCAGCCATAGTTGCTTTCCTAGCCTCAAAAGGGTGTATTATACAATATAAGCATTAACTCTTGCAGACTCAGAACCAGCTAGTTTAATCTAGGGAGCATTAAAGACAGCACATGACCCAAAGCCCAACAGGTGGCAAGAGTTAGCCTCTAACAGTTGTTTGATGATCTAATGTCAAACTCATTGGTTGCATTATCCCACATCCTGAGAGCAAACAGGTGACCACATCTCCCAAACCACAACTGGTTAGCAATTTCAAAGAGAGAAGTCATGAAACTGACTGACTAACAGGATACGGTACTTGGCCTACCCTGTATGGACAATCCCCGGTAGATTGATGCCATGACACTCTTGCAGGCAATGTACAGAAGAGTGAAATCTTGCTCCTTGAGCACTGAGCAGTGAAGACTTCCAACTCTCGCATGTGGCTGCATTTAATCAAACATCTTTCACCAGCACCACATTTATGAGGTTTAAACAAAAGCACTGGGGCTCCTTAGCTGGTTATTGGTCCTGCATAGCTAAGATGGTTAGGCGCCAGAAAGATATGGGAGGCAACTCCCAAGAGATGCAGAATCTCAGTACATGGTGTTTACCTTCATTTCCAGGCACTTAATATACACTGATGTGCCTTTGAATTGCTTGTCATCAGGTTGTCTTTGGCATTTGGATTCCCCTGCCCTCTTTTTAGTCCCTGGATGGGAAGTTCTCTATGTAAAACAAGGCGTTCTTCCCCCTAATCAAAACCTGTGATGCAATTCTGAGTGGCAAGTGAGTTTTAAATTATTTATAAAACAAGGCAGATCTTAAAAGGGACATTGTTAGGAAACTGTATGCTAATATACGTTACTTCTGGAAATATCCTTTGCTGGATGGAAACATGAAAGATCAAGGACTTCAGCTAATGCTTGTCGTCTGCCGTCTAAAAGTCTGTAAAGCTGCTGGGATTCCACTGGTACCAACGGCGCCTAAGGACTCTACTAATATTTTTGTTAACCAGGAGTAATGGTGGCAAAGTCACCTTTTATTAGGTTTTTGGATTAGGGAAAGTGGAGCTATGGCTCACTTCTGAACATGGAGCTGCTTTTGGTCTTTTGGGTTTGGCTTTTGCTGCTCAACTCCCCATGGGACTCTTGATCCGCTAAGATCCTGATTGCATTACCTGGGTAGCCTGGCTATTCTTTTGTGATGGTTAATACTTTAGTTCCTGAATCCAGGTCACAGGCTCACCCTATTCATACACAAATGTGCCCTGAAGTCAGGATTTGTAAGCGAAAAGAAGGCTTTTGCCATTTGCCTCCCTTACTGGCAGTGGAATATTTGAAGTCATTGAAAGAGTCAAAATGGCTTCAGGATTGCTTTCCTGTACTATTTCAAACACATGTTTTATATATTTAGATGTGTGTGCATTTATGAATATTTATTCTATATTTGAGACCTCAGAATTCTTATAACAGCAGAAACATCTTTACTTGGATCTGTCTTGATATTATCATCATTTCTGGAGTTGGGGGTTGGGCGGGGAGATGGAGACGCCATATAAATGAATGACATCCCTTGAACACAATGGGCTCTGTTACTGTTTCGCTTTATTATAGAATTTCATTTTGAAGTTCCTTCCTTTCTCTTCCAGCTTGTTTCTTTATGTCCACTGAGCTTCAAGCTCTGTGTGAAAGTCTGGGGAAAGAAAATAACAAATTGATAGGAGGTGTGCTCATTTCAGACCATTAGCGGAAAGTGGCAAATACGGTAATTATGCTTTCTCTTTTGAGTTTTCCCTTCTATTGACAGTACATAACAGAGTTTGCAAAGGGAGATTCTCTTCTGTCACCTGCTCTTTGAGCTCTTCTGGCGTTTATCTGCAGAGCTCCCTATGACATGATGCTAGAACCTCTGTTCCTTTTTTCCAGTCCAAGTACAAAAGAAGGGGTGGCCTTCCGGGCCATTCAAGGACCACTTTGAGAAAGCATTTGTAGAAATGACTGCTGCAGGAGGTGTTATACTCTCATTCATATGCCCCAGGCAACCAAATCAAAGTCATAAGACTTGTCTGCAAAGAACCACAGTGGATAGATGCCTGCTAAAAACTTTTTTGTTTTGGCAAGCCTATCCAAGCATGGGCTTTTATTGTGCTTACTGATTTTTAAATTCTGTTGATTTTATCAGTATTTTTAAAAAATAATTTCACTATATACACATTGCTTTTAAACTTTGTTGATTGTATCACTGTGCGTATCAGAGCATGGATAGCTTAGTTGGTTAGAGTGTGGTGCTGATAATGCCCAGACTGCAGGTTCAATCCTTGTATGGGACAGCTGCATTTTACTGCATTGCAGAGGGTTGGACTAGATGATCCTCAGGGTCCCTTCTAACTCTACAATTCAATGATTCTATATTTATTTATGGCTTCAAGTAAGATTAGAAAGAGAGAGAGAGACAGTATTGCAATAAGTTGCACAGGAGATCCAGAGGTCTAACGCAGGCATAGGCAAACTCGGCCCTCCAGATGTTTTGGGACTACAACTCCCATCATCCCTAGCTAACAGGACCGGTGGTCAGGGATGATGGGAATTGTAGTCCCAAAACATCTGGAGGGCCGAGTTTGCCTATGCCTGGTCTAACAGAAGTTAAGCTAGGTTTGAGCTAGCAGATAATATTTATGAAGGCTGACGCCCTTTCTTCAAATCACTGATCCCTTGTTTTATGTAATTGCCGTATGCTGTAGGTTATGATTTGCAGTGTGGCAAATTATAATGGTGAAATTGTTATGGCCTTTGGCCAATAAACTTTTGATTGATTGGGGTCTGTATTTTTCAAGAAAAGATTTTGCATGGTGTTATGTTAGAGACGTTTCATAGCAGTCTATAAAAGTTCTTAAATAAATAACATTTAAAATGTGCTTTATAAGAAAGCAAAAGAGAGAAGTTAGCATCTCTGGTAGAAGAAACATTTGGTATGTTTACTCTAGAGTGGAGTTAGTCCTGCCAACATTTCAGGTGGCAGAAGGTTATTACCAATAAAAGAAGACTGAATATTGCAAGACAGTTCCAGCAGCCTAGCCTGGGTGTCCTGTCTAGGATGGGGGCAGATTTTCTGTACCTCAGAACGCATCCCTAAATGCAACCATCTTACTTCATCCCATAGAGTTCAGAGCTGATAGCCATTAAGATCTGAGATGGCATTGCTGCTACCCTGGGTGCCATTACTCAGTAATGCTAGTGCAGCAAGACAAAGAAAGTGTTGTGTGGCTTGTTGTTATTATTTTGTATACATGATTCAACTGAAGCTTGTTGAACATGAGGAGGGCCTGACAGCGAATTCCAGTCCACATGTCACATAGTTCTCATAAGGATACTCCGCATGTGCGGTGAAGACAAGAGAAAAATAAGCAGCCAGATCAGATGCAATGTGCAAGCTGGCTTGGCCACTATTTCACAAAAGCACTGAGAGGTGCCCTCCTGTTTTCTTCAGCAGAGCATACGCGATAGGATCTGCCCACCAATCTTCAGAAAGAGGGCTCCACTTAAGATCATTCACTCCATGCTTTTTTACTTGGTGTTTCCACTTCCTATAAGAAGGCAATTCTTAGTGAGAAGAAAGGCGGCTTTTGCTTCACCCTATGCTTCTCATGCTTGGGGGGAAGATCTCAGCAGTGGCTGCTGTGTGCTTTTCAATCCCAAGCCAAAACTTATGACCCCCAGCTTTGCTTTGTCTGATTTCCATCTTGTCACTTCTCCTGCTTTATTACTTCTGCTGTGTTTTTATTCATTTCTCTTATTTTACAAGCAGGTCCCTGAAATGCTTTCTCTGGCTATGTCCTTCCTGCAGTCCTGAAGAATCAGTTACCAAAATCCCAACTGGACTTCCTGCCAAATTGCTCCAAGTAGCAAAAAGCTGCTCCTTCCCCCACTTTTTCTTCTTCTTCTTCCCCCGCTTCATGTGCCTTGTAGGCATCTCTGCTTTTCCTCCCTTTCCACAGATGTTTTGCATTACTGCATAGTCGCATACAGGAAAGCAGGGGACTGTGGAATATTTTGCTAGATTAAGTAATGCAGGTCAGACCTGAATTTGTGTAGGAGACAGATAAACTTATAAAAGACTTGCTTGTTGAAGTCTTGATTTTGTGGGCTTCAAAGCAGCTGCGGGCTGATTTTTTTAAAAATGGAGGATGAAGGCTGACATTTGGACAAGCAGCAAAGCTAAGACTTTGCTGCCCTTATTCTCCTTCACCCACACTAATTCAGAAGGGCTCCAGGCCTCTGCATGCATTGAGGGTTGCCAACCATTCAGAAAAAAGACTCAGCCTAATGTTTTCTTTTTAATCTCCGGGTCCAGGGATACAGACAGATAGAGAGAAAGAGAGGCAAAAATGTTCCTCTTTAATCAGGACTTTGGCTGATTGACTTTTAAAAATGTTGGAGGAAGTGGGGGGGATTATTGGTTTGTTGTGAGCTGCCCTGAAATCTGTGGATGAAAGGCAATATACAAATTTGTTCCTTAGCCACAGTCATAGTTCATAGCTCAAAGGACTGTAACAGGATAAGGAGGTCAGCATTTCAAACTCCTGCAAGGATGTGTGCTGCCAATTGTCTGCTTCTGTTACTAGTGTTCTGCTGAGGTGCGAACGATGCGCGGGAAGTGGGAAGCCTTGAGGAAAGGGTTAATGATCCCTTGCCACAGCACCACTACTGCAATCACATTTGCAACTCTCCAAAGCGGCAATGTACAATGAAGGAAACGCCAGCAGATCAATCATGGATGTCTACTGATGCCATGTGCAGTTGGCGTCTCGGTATGCAGAAGCTGGCCTTACCAGGGTTGTCTGTGATGGACAGCAGGGAGAGTGCAGTTTCTCCTTCTGGGCTGGTCTAGTCTGGCAAAAGTCCAAGGCAGTGTGATGCAAGTCACTTCTGTCAATATACAACATTCCAGTATATGCTTTGTGTTATTCCGAGACAGTAGTCCAGCATTTTCACTCAGGGTTTTACGTTTATGTAGGGGACCAGAAGTGTGCCCCTGGGCTCAGAAAGGTGGCTGAAGTGAAGGCCACTTAAGAATCTGTGCATTCCCTGCTTTACAACATGCAATTCACACACAAAAATGTCCATGACGTCCTGCCCCAGCAGACCAAAATATCTCCAGAAGGCTGCCGTGTCCATTAAAGTGTTAAAAATGAGGATATATAGCAGGCAAAAATCTCCGTTTCAGACTTTTCATGAACATATATAATCTAAATAAGAAGCAATCCTCTCTTCAAAGGTTTCAGGATATTTATTTTTAGGAATTCCAGAGCGTTCATAAATTGAGCTCTTTGTCTGAGCCCCTCAGAGGAATACATTACCTTATTGAGAAATAATGTCTGGGGGTTCATTTCACAGGGCTTACCTCTGGACTCCGTGATGGAGAAACAGCAGATTTCAATTCCCATGCCCCTTCTCTGGTGCAACTTGTACCGTAGCTGTAAAGCAACCTCCAACCACAGCAACCTGGAAAGAGGTGAAGGAAAGAATGAGCATTTAAGCCAAGAAAAGGAAATGGAAAAAATTTATGTAGATAAGATCTCCCACCTTTTTGTAAAACATAATGGCATGAACTTACAAGTTCAAAAAAATAATATCTAACATGGGATGGCGCCCCACAATAACCCTTCATCCCAACTCTTATCTGTAGGATAATCTGCACTTAGGTCTATTTGTCTACGCTCTTCATAGGTTTTGAGCTTAGCGGGTGTGCCTTGGCTGTTGGATATATCCTCACTGGGCTCAGTTTCATTATGTCAACCCTCCCACTTCCATATTTATTTATTTATAGCAGGAGTAGCCAACTGCTACCCTCCAGAGGTTGTTGGACTCCCATCATTCCTAAACACTGGCCATGCTAGATGAAGCTGATGGGAGATGGAGTCTAATGCTTGCAAGTGGAGCTTGTTATGTGAGGATGAGAAGAAGAAGAAGAAGAAGAAGAAGAAGAAGAGGAAGAAGAAGAGTTCAGATTTGATATCCCGCTTTATCACTACCCGAAGGAGTCTCAAAGCGGCTAACAGTCTCCTTTCCCTTCCTCCCCCACAACAAACACCCTGTGAGATGAGTGGGGCTGAGAGACTTCAAAGAAGTGTGACTAGCCCAAGGTCACTCAGCAGCTGCATGTGGAGGAGCGGAGACGCGAACCTGGTTCCCCAGATTACAAATCTACCACTCTTAACCACTACACCACACTGGCTCTCCAGAGAAGCCACACTCAGGGAAATTGTCTCTCTAAACTAGGTCCTAACAAATTACCTGGGAGTAAGTCCCAGTGAACGGAGAGGGACTTACTTCTGAGTCGATATGTATTGGATTGCACTGCCTGATTATGTATTAAAATACACATTAAAATATCCTCTAAATTCATATTTTGAAGGAGAATTATCGTCACAGAAATGGAAGAGAATTATGAGTAAAAAATGTGAAAACAACACAGATCGGAAATTGAGAGATTCATAATGATAGTTCACAGCTCTACACATTAATCCTGCTCACTCTGAATAAAAATTGCCACAAAATGTCACTAAAAATTAAATGTTGGGGCAAATGTGGAGGTTCCTCCTCAAACTAAATGTCTAAGGAATTTACAGGAAAGCAAAAAGTTTTCAGGAATGACGAATGACATTTCTCATGGGGTATCATAACATTTGGCACAGCGTTTCACCTAAAGTGAAAATTTGAGATAAATTTTGCAGTTCCTGCTAAGGAGAAACATCCAATGGTTTATCTATCTTTTGCAAAACAAAAGAAGTTTAGATAAAACTGCAGAAATTTCTCAGGGGGCGTTACATGCACATCCCTATTCTGACATTTTGTATACTGATGATGCAATTAATTAAAGGAGGCACAAGGTCTAAGTGTTGAAAGTCTGCCAAAACCCTTCATTTACAAATTAAACAGGTTCTGTATATAGACCTCCAGAGGAGAATTGCTATTGGACTAACCTTTTGTGCAGCCAAATCCAAGGGGGGAAATGGCCTCTTCTTGTTCCATCTCTCTAGGCTGCTTATATAGTTGACAAAGTGGCAAATGGTTAAGACACAGAGTTCTCTCACCTGAACCCCTCCTGTGCTGCTCTCTGTTTTAAAAGCATTTCAGGAAATGGCTGAAAAGGTGTCAGTCAGCTTAGCTTCTATATGAAAATATATACTGGCCATTCACCTCTGGAGCAGCAGATCCAACTCATTGTAAAGGTCTTGAGTACTACAACTGTGCTGACACCAGGATCATTCACATTAATAATATTTCCAAATGGGCCCCAAATCTGGCAACACCTAGCCATTATTAAAAGTCTCTGGACTGAGCAACTACAAGGTGTGAACTTGTGAATTCCAGCTTGATTGTAGGAAAGGGGGCAAGGTCAACAACAGGCTTGTGAAGAGGAAGGTGGGTGAGTAGCTGCTTTTCCAAGACTGCAGAAACCTCTAGTCAGCCATGTTTATGATATATATGCAGTATAATTACCTCAGAACCAGGATTCAGACACTCTCCTGTTATATCATGAGGAACCTTAAAGTGGTCCCACCACCTCCAAGTTCTAATATTCTCCTGAAAATTAGCAATATTGAGGTCAGAGCCAGACTGCAAAAAAGAACCCTAAAAACAGGAGCAGATGCATGGTGACTGGACAGAGGAAATTGCAGTGTAGAGTCTAAAGAGCATCTAGGTCTCATTTCACATCAGAATTCATGTCACACAGCTGCATGAGTAATAGCTTGGGAAGACTATTCATATTAATCTGTAGTTTACACCATGCACCTCTCTCAGAATTTACCCATTACCACCTGCAGACAGACAAGGTTAAATATTAAATATATTTTCCTTCACCTCTAAGCACACATAAGACCATAATTGTTGTCTTGCTGAATCTCACTAGGATCCACCTAACTCAGCAATCTGTTTTCATTCCAACACTGCCAAACCATATGCTTTCATACACTCACAGTTGGGACATGGAGGTGATGACCACTGAGTGGTGAGATGTTGTTTTCAATGAGTTATTGTCCAGAACCCAATATATTTTTCTTGGGTAGACAAAGAAAGTTTAGACTCAATTAGTGTGTGTGTGTTTTTATTTTTTATTTTAATCCCAAATGCATTACTCTTTTACTGCACTACATCTACTCTTACGCCCGGTTTGTAGAGATCTATTTGCAGCTCTTTACAGTCTGCTTGAGATTTCTGCAAAGTAAATAACATGGCTATTGGTTCACTCACTTCCTTCCTTCCATTAAGAAAACTGTCTAGTTATCCCCACCTTCTGTTTCCTGATTTTTATCAGTTACTCATCCTTAAGAGGACTTCTTATCTGGATTACTACTATTTATACATAACCAGCTGATATTTACCTATTGGCAAGAAGAAGAGTTTGGGCTTGATATCCCACCTTTCACTCCCCTTAAGGAGTCTCAAAGCGGCTAACAATCTCCTTTCCCTTCCTCCCCCACAACAAACACTCCGTGAGGTGAGTGAGGCTGAGAGACTTCAGAGAAGTGTGACTAGCCCAAGGTCACCTAGCAGCTGCATGTGGAGGAGCGGAGACGCAAACCCGGTTCGCCAGATTACGAGTCCACTGCTCTTAACCACTACACCACGCTGGCAAAAGGAACATGAAATCATTAGTAAGGTGGCTTTGCTGTTCTGAAGGCTAGTACAGTATAATATTATTAAACTGGTTTTAACATGGCTATTGCCATCTAGTAGACTTTCCCCATTTGACATGACCAATTAGGGAGCAAAACATGCAGTATAGGTTTTATAGCATTAAAGAATATTGAATTAAGTAATACTATTGGAAAGAGAATTTGCTTATTTCCATGCATTGAGACATGACCTTGCACACCTAAACATATATTTCTGCTTATAACAAAAGAATGCTACCTGTGGTCAATCAAATCATAATGTGGCACAAGCAGATAGCGGATTGTTAAGCTATGGCACTCACTCCCACAATTTCGTGGAGAATTGGGCTATCAATGACTACTAGCCATGATGGCGGGGCTCTCCCTCCACAGTTGGAGGAGGTAATGCTTCTGAATATAAGATGCTGGAAGCCACAGTAGCTATTGTGCTTGGGTCCTGTTTGTGGGTTTCCTACAGGCATCTGGCTGGTCACTGTGAGAAGAAGGTTGCTAGATAATATGGGTTATTGGCCTGATCCAGCAGATTCTTCTTATGTTCTTATGGTATGGGTTTCAGTTTCCTCAATGCCAGAGGTAGCTGAGGTAAAAAGAGCAAGTCTAATAGGATATATACACCAATCTCAAGAACAATGAACTTTTTCATTTCCTGCAGGAGAAAGAATTTCCAACCAATTAGACCTGTAGGAAACAATTTTCCACCCTCCTAATACAATTATGAAACTGAGCAATGATGTTCTCCTTCGCTGAAATCCCATCCTCATTTGTGGCTATTCCACTTGTAAGAAAGGGGATCAAGGATACCTGGATTTATGCTTGATAATGCAAACAAATGAATTTCTTGCCCCAACTACTTCTCATATGAATCTGAACCACAGTTTTATATGAGGATATATAATCTATAATATAACTAGCAACATGAAATACAGAGGTATGGATTAACTGAGAAAGCCTTGCAAAACCTTTTATAGCTTTCAGTTCTGAAGGACTCCCCCCACCCCATACCAAAGTTTCAATGCTTTTGAATTTCAAACAAATCCTGATCAGGAAACTCAGCCAAAATGTCTGGGTTTTGCCTGGTTTCAGGTTGAAGCTGTACTGAGCGAAGGCTTGAAGCTGCTCATGATTTCAACCCTCCAAACAATAAACTGAAATATAAATTATAAATTGGCTCAGCTTCATTTGAAACTCAGCCCAGCCTTCCATGAAATTCAGCCCAGCTTTGCCAGAAGGCATAATTTGAAAGTGAGTTGGTCTGGGTGTCAGAGATGGGGTGGAAGACACTTGGAAACTTCCTAAGTTGCAACATGGGGAGCATTTGTTTGAAAATTCTGGAAAAAGAATAAAGCAGCCTTCACCAAGATTGGTGCCCTCAATATTTTTGGACTACAGTTCCCATCATCCCCAGCCAGCATGGTCAATGGTCAGAAATGATGGAAGTTGTAGTTCCACATTTGGAATGCTACAGGCTCCCCTTCCTTGATCTAGAGTTTAGATTTTAGTTAAATACACACAGTTAGCAATGCTAGACATGCTCAGATTGTGAGGCCAATCCTCAAGATTAAAAAGCTAAATGATCTTCTCCTGGGATGCACGGAGGAGTGCCGGTTTTCTATTATTGAGTCTGGGTCTGGTAATCCCATTCGTATCCTCAGTTTTAAAAAACAACAAAAAACAAAAAACCAGCCCTGCAGAGCACCTGCAGCTGCCTCCTCCTTCCTATTGGTCAAAGTAAATTTCAGCACCTTGGGACTGTTGTTCATAAGATTTAGGAGGCTAGGGCTTTGCTTACCTGAATCTTGCTCACAAGTATTCTAGCAGGGTATCTGAACACCCGGGACATCCCTATGACTATCACTGGGAGTAAAGAAATTAATATTTAAAAGCTTACACACATACAGCTGCTAGTTGCAGTGATTACTGTCATTAGCTTTTTGGCTGTTTGGGGATACAGTGGTACCTTGGTTTAAGAACAGCTTAGTTTATGAACAACTTGGATTAAGAACGCTGCAAACCTGGAAGTAGGTGTTTTGGTTTATGAACTTTGCCTTGGAAGCAGAACATGTTCCGGTTTCTGTTGAGTGTGTTCAATTTTAAATTGAGTCCCCCACTGCTATGGGAAAGCACACCTTGGTTTAAAGAACGCTTTTGTTTAAGAACGGACTTCTGGAACAGATTAAGTTCGTAAACCAAGGTACCACTCTATTACTTGACCTGTGTGCTTTATGTTTAATATTCTAGATGCATTTTATATGACTTGTTAATGATTGATCAACAATAATGATTAATTAGTAGATTGTTAATTTAGCATTGCAAATAGTTTTATGATTTTAATCATGTAGCATGGTTATTATAGTATTTCTTTGGCCTGTTATTCTGCTGTAAACTACTCTGAGCACAAATTTGTAGAAAATGTGTTATATAAATAAAATAATGGTGAATATAATAATCCAACCTCAAATCTTTCAGTAACTTGTCAGCTGAACAAATAACCAACACTCAGTGTCTTGCTTTACATTCTAAGCTGGAAGGCAATTCAATTTGCATTCCTGTTTTCTGAAAGTAACAAAGAACTTTGGTGACATGTAAACTGAAGGGTGTGTGGTTGTGTACATGTGCAGTGTTGTCCATCACAGAGGGTGATGGGAAATTGGAGATGGCTTTTAAATATGCACATAGTACTCATTAATATGTATGTTCACTGAATATGTTTGGAGAAAGGGAGAACTGTGTCTCATGCATGTACAGGGTTGTGCTTGAATGTGTCTTTGGAATCTGTCCATTGATTAGTAGCACACTTTGCTAGGAATTACCTAGCGAAAGTCCCCTCTGGCAGGCAAAGAAAGGCAAAGTAATGGAGTTTTAAGCAAGAGGCAAGTCTGAGGCAAGAGAAAGTGCAGACATCTCTAGGAAATAAAGACCATTCAGCACATGTACAAATCCCTATCTTCAGCTTTGAAAGCTAAGCATCTCTGTTGTTGCACGGCTGAGTAACTAGGCTTTGAAATATGTTATAAACTGAAAGCAACTGACTGACATTTTCAAGATGTCAGAAAATTAGGAAAGCTGGACAGAAGCACTAGGCCAAGAAAGAGACGGGGAAAAGAAAGAAAGAAGTGCATTTTGTGCCAAGAAACCCTGAGCTGCCAGAATGACTACTTGCGCCAAGAGGCTCCAAAAGCTTTGGGCTTTTTGTACTACTTGACCCAAGTACACTGTTCTTCTTCTGGGTCTGGGCTTCAGGTTCAGTGCAGGAGGTCGAAGGGATTTGGGATGAAACCAAAGAGGATATTTGTGTGCATTTAATGCCTAGCTCTGGGATTATTATGTTGAAAAGCAATCCATTTCCCTTCCCTTCCCTAGTTCTTTCGGAATATATCGCATTCAGATTTAGATTCCTCCATATTCTTACCTAGACGAGGATAACTATTTCTGTTGCAGATATTATTATGAGTTTGTGTCTGGCTTGATATAGATACACTTTCATGCTTAATCCAGACTCAACAAGTGTCGCTATTTTCCAGGGACAGTCTTGGATTTACAGAAGCCAACCTGGTTTCTGACTTGATCCCAGAATGTCTCCTTAGGATGTTTCTATTTTCATCAGAGAAATGTTAGAGGGTATGGAGTTATCCAACCCCCAAGCCATCTGAAAGCAGCGCTGTATGGGGATTTTTAAAATGTTTAATGTTTTCTAATGTTTTTATATATGTTGGAAGCAGCCCAAAGTGGCTGGGGCAACTCAGTCAGATGGGCGGGGTATAAATAGTAAAATTATCACCATCACCATTATGGAATAAAAAGGTAAAGTGACCCCTGACCATTAGGTCCGGTTGTAACCGACTCTGGGGTTGCGGCGCTCATCTCGCTTTATTGGTCGAGGGAGCCGGCGTACAGCTTCCGGGTCATGTGGCCAGCAGGACTAAGCCGCTTCTGGCAAACCAGAGCAGCGCACAGAAACGCTGTTTACCTTCCTGCCAGAGCGGTACCTATTTATCTACTTGCACTTTGACGTGCTTTCGAACTGCTAGGTTGGCAGGAGCAGGGACCAAGCAACGGGAGCTCACCCCATCGTGGGGGATTCGAACCTCCGACCCTCTGATCAGCAAGTCCTAGGCTCTGTGGTTTAACCCACAGCGCCACCCACGTCCCTCATTATAGAATAGGACATCCCTATTTTCCTTGGAGAAATTTTGGACAAGCCTACTCCTAAATCTCAGGAATATATTTAGACAGTTAGGAAGCCTTGCGATTTTTGCCATCTATCCTGGGGAAATCACAGATCACCACCATAAATGGTGTTGTTCCCTAGCCAAAGGCAATAGCTAAATATCAGGCTTTTGGGACGCTTTGCTTGTCAGCATGCACAGACTTCCCATAGCAGCCATCACACTAATGAAGCTCCTTGGAGTTCCAGCAGGGCTATTTCACAGCCTGGTTTCTGCAGCAATTTAGGTTTTTATTGCCTCTGGGACAGAGCTTCTGCAAGTCAATGAAACACTCTGCTGCAGTGGTAAAAGGTGTAAATTGAACTAACTTCATGGGGTCCCCAAGAAGCAGTGACAGATGAAGGAGGCTTTCTCCCCTGCAACCATTCTCTTCACTATAGCTGGGGGGGAAAGAAGAAGGTTGAGGTGTTACAGTAAGAAAAGCAATATTTTATGAAAGTTGCAAGCTGTATGCCTGAAACAGTCCCCCATAGAGTACTCTATGGACTGGTGTTTTCTGTTTATTGTACCTCACCGCACCTAGACCTGGTTTCCTGCTGGCTTTCTTCCTTCCCATGTCCTCACTTTATTTTACCTCAGTCACTACAACCATTTCCAGTATTTGTCCAAGTTTCCACTTAGTTCCTTCGCATCCGACCTCATACACTTCTGTTTGCCTTTCTCTTCTATGGTCTGGACTTGGGCCCCAGACAACAGCAAAGAGTTTCTGAGTTCATTCAGAGGTGACAGTGTAGGGTGTGCAGAGATGCTTTAAGTGGGTTTTTAACATTGCACGTTATTGCATTTTAACATTCAGGTTTGCTTCAATTGTTATAACCCACCCTGGGGCTTTAAGGGGAAGGGCGGGTAAGAAACTGGAATCAATAATTGTTTGTCTTCTGTATCTCAAACATTTGTATTGTTATATGCAATAAAATAACATAATTAAAATTTAGGGAGGAATATTACTACCTTCACTCCCAATAACAACAACAATTCTTTTAAAGGATTGTCGATGAAACAACCCTAATTTGCATTTTGCGTTTATGTGTATGTTTAATTTTAATTCAGTTGTATTGTCTTTATTTCTTCCTTTATTCTTGTATGTTATTGAAGTGAATATCCTTTCTTAAAAAGAAGAAGTAATAACTGAAAATCAGCAGCAGTAGCATGCTTCCTCTGCTCCTCTCTCTACCCTTCCCTGCCACCCAGCTGCCCAGGCTTGAAGCCAGATTGAAATGGGGCTAGATTATGCGTTTCATCCAATAATCTATGGAGCTGTATATGCATTCAACACACTGTTTCTGTCCCCGTTTGGTTCTTTTCTCAAACTTTCCTTCTCCTCTCACTTAGTTCCCTCCCTTCTGTCTAAGTCATGTCAAACACCAGCCTAACTTAGACTCTTGAGCACATTTACCAAGATCTCTTGTATCCCTCTTGTAAATCTGTCTCTCTGGCTACTACATTTGCATTCCCTTTTGCTCCTTCAGGCTTTCACACCAGTTCATGTTCCCAGTGCCTCCTGTGTGACATCCATGAACTTGTGCCAGTTTTTGTTGGCTGATACTCAATTTTAGGATGCAGTGCAAATAGCAGGAGTTTATAGTCTTTTCTCCCAAATATTTGGGAGAAGGAGCCAACTGCAGGCCATTTAGAAAGCTCGGTTTCTTGAACTGTTCTTTTCTAGTCTTTTCTTGGGGCATGGTCAATAGCACAGAAGTATTAACTCAGTAGGAAACATAGCTAGAGATATCTGTTCATATATTGCTTCACTGGTTTAATGAATACTTAGTTTCCCGAGGTTAAAGACGTACATCCTGGCATGCACTGCAGATACCACTTTGTTCAGTACTTGAAACATATGTGCAGAACAAGAGCAAAGAATATTCCAGATCTGAGGCAAAGTGCCCTCAGTAGGTCACTCCCCACCCCACAGCAGACTTGTCAGGTGGTAAGTTGCAGCAAGAGGCCAGCTGTAGCACCGGAGCACTGGGCTTATGTGGCTAAACCTGCTGGCACTGCCATTAAATCCCCCACAATGCAATGCTGTAATTATGCTCCTGTCAGCACCAGGAAGGAAAAGTATGCCCAAACTAGGCTAGTGTTAGCAGTGGGAGTGGAGCTTGTGGGGACCTCAGCATATGCCCAAGAATGGTGCTTGCTGGTGCTGGCCATGAGCACATGAAATGTGCATTAAGACCCTGGGTGAAGAGGAAGGATAAGGTTATTTGAGGCTGCCCATTAAGAGAATCTGCATCACTCAGGGTACACAGGAAGCATAAAAGGCTAATGCTATTCTAGGCTGCATCAACGTAAGTATAGTATCCCGATCAGGGGAGGTAATAGTAGTGCTCTGTTCTGCCTTGGTCAGACCACACCTAGAGTACTGGGTGCCACAATTTAAGGAGAGTTATGACAAGTTGGAACATGTGTACAGCAGGGTGGCTAAGATGACCAGGGGTCTGGAAACCAAGCCTTATGAGGAATGGTTGAGGGCATTGGGTATGTTTAGCCTGGAGAAGAGGAGACCATCTTCAAATATCTGATGGGCTGTCCCCTGCCTCGCTGCATATAGCCTCTCCTGCTTCTAGTTAACAGTTTCCAAGTTGGTGTTGTTCTTGAAAGTTCTTACACGAGATCTACCAAATTCTGGAAATAACTAGAATCTGCTTGTGAATTTATGGGTTTACTCTGAATTGGACTTGGGACACAAATGAAATAAATAATGTTAGAAAAGGGGCAGATGACTGCTGGGAAAATGAAAGAACAAAGCTCTGTCCCTGTATGCATGTATGTACATATTCATGGATTTATTTCATGGATTTATATCCAGCACTTCAGTAAGTACCCAGGGAATCCTGCAAAAAATCAAAAATACTTATCATGATATAACCCTTGCTCTAAGAAACCTCAGCTTATGTATAGCCAAAAATGTGGCATCTGGAATTAAGAACCTCTTCTTTCATTCAGATTACAAATTGAAAACAATTCAGACTCAAACTGAGGATTACGGTGGTTTTGGCTCTGTAGCTACTAAAGGGGCCATGAATTTCCTAACTTTTATAGGATGTACGGGAGATAGGTTTGAACTTTTTATGCTTGCCTCTTTTAAAATTCTATAATCATACGGCTGTTCAATTCTCCTGGGTAAACTGAGACCCAAGTAGAATTTAGTTGGTTGTAAAATATATATTTTGTGTTCTCCATCATATATATCCCTGGTGAATTTATTCATTCTCTAGCAGTCTTTTTTATAGCAAACTACAGATGTGTATTACTTAAACAGATTGTCCCATCTTCTGAGAAGAGTCTTATTGAGTAGATGGATGCTTTGATAAAATGAAGATTTCTTGTATTTTCAGAAACTAGTTATCTTATTCTCACCTCTTATTCAAAAATAGCACTGAAAAAATGATAGAATCTTTAAAGTCTTTCAACTACAAGTTTTTCATCAACTTGGTTTTTACTTGCCTCATTTGGTAACATATAAATAGCCTTGGAGATAGTAATATAAAGCTCCAAATCTTTTGGATTATTTAATATTTGTGTCTTAATAATTTAATTATATGAAATAAAATAACTTAATCCAGAGCCACATGCATGCCTCTTTACATCCTTGGAGCTTCTGCATGAGTGGAGCTCTGTTCATTTAAATCAGGGGTTTGGCCGTGGCCAATCTTCACCCAATAAGGGGTCTAATTTGGCCTGCAAAGCCATTTCCCCTAAAGCATCATCCATCAATCAGATGGCATCACTGGGTGATAGATGAAAACTGGCCCCTTGCTAGGTTACTTTACAGAAGCAACAAGAATAAAGCTGTTCCTCTGTTAAGCAACCATTTTGGCCTGACTTAAGCAGACCAAACTGGCCTGTTAAGCAACCATTTTGGCCCTGAAATAACCTGACAAGGGGCCAGTTTTCATCTATGTTTGGACGCTAGGTGCCATTTTGATTCAAGATGTCCGACTGAAATGTTCTAAACTGATTTAGACAACTCTGAAGATACTGTCACCCAGCTTGGCATGATGGTTCCTGAGGTGGAGGAGTGGGTTAATCCCTTGTGCACTCTATTTTACCAGAGTGAATTTAATAGCCAAGATTTATGGCTTGGCTATCATTAAGCATCATGCAATTATCGCCATCGGCGAGCTGCCAACAGAAGATGTTCAGTCTGCCATGTTCCTCCTCTGTAAGTCCACCATCAGACACCATTTTGAATCAAGGTGGTGGGCCAAATTATTCCAAACAGCACCACTTAAGATATCATTGCTCAAATTGGCATGGCAGTTCCCAAGTAGTAGATTTTGGTCTAGGCTGGGACACTATCAGACTACATTTTGACTCAAGATGGTGAAGTGAGCCACCTGCAATGATTTGAACACCTTTGAAGATGATATCGTTCCCCAATGTGGCATGATGGTTCCTGAGATCATAGAGTAAGTTTGAGCCTATGTTCGAATACCATCAGATGCCATTTTGAATCAATATGGCAGGCTGAACCCTTCATAACAGCACTGATTTTAACCATCATTTGGCAGGAATATAATAAGACTATGCATCAGATTTGGCCAAAATCCCAATTCCAAACCAAATTTGGCCAATTCAAGCTGATCTCAGCTTTGACCAAGTTGGGTCAAGAGAGCCCTGTACTGCCCCAGGTTGGGTTGCCCCAAATTAACCAGGACCATTTTGCATAACAAAAAATGGATTCTTTTTCAGCCATAATATATATATATATATTATCTGCTAAAATGTTTCCTTATCCATTTAAATTTACCTCACTTGCCCTCAGTGATAAAATCACATAGCCAGACATGATTGGCTGCATAGTGTTGTGATGTCATGCTGCGATTCCTGACAGTTATTCTCATGTGACTACTTCAAAATCGAGAAAGAAAATGAATCCATAGTATTGCTGTTTCAAAACTTTAAAAATTAATAAATTTATCAGGTGATATTTACACTCCACTGGAACAGCTATTCTTGCCTTTAAAATCGATACTGGCAAATATTCAGTGCAGCTCCAGTTATAACATTTTTGGAAATCAAATATAAACACACTATACTTCCCTCTTAATTCTTCAACATGCTTTTGTGCTTTTTGCAGCCCATCAGGTTTTCTCTTCAATCCAGTAACCCCTGAAACAGATCCACTTTTTCATATTGTAGCTGGGATGTATATTTTAAATACAGCAAAGCAGTTTTCCGGGGCATATCCTCCAGACCCCTGTTTGTCAGCATTGTTCTTCTCATCAACCTTATCTATCTTCCACATGTACATACTAAAGTGGAATCTCTTTACAAGAAAGCTGTCGGTATATGTTGTGTCCTTGTTGTGCCCTTTTCATATAACCTTCTTCCCCCAGAGGAGTACATATTTTTTTTAAGTTCACCATTTTAGGTAATTCACAAATGCTGAGGACTCACAGTTTTTACACGTACTGTACAAGCCTTGATTGTAGCCTTGTCCAAAGGAAGGAACTGCAACAATAAAAACATCTGTGTAAGGCTTCACCTCTTCAAAATCTCAGAGATCTACTCCTTCAACAGGTTGTCAACACAACAATTCTCTGTAAAGGATTTGTGTCATATGCCAGGAAAATTGAGAGCAGAAGTGACAATGACACATGGCCCCTCAACTTTAGCTTTTATGAAAAATTGGTTTCTTTAAGTCAAGGTTAAGGGACAGGGGGTTCAAAACCCAGACCCTGCTTCAATTACTACAATGGTCAGAGATCTTCTAGATTCCCCTGTGCTTTAATAGGGGGACCACTACTAACAGAAATGGAACTTCTTTCTGCGACTCCCTCCATCTTTCTTCACCACCTGCTTGCTCACCCACCACCCATCTCCCTTCTAAAAAGGAAGCCAATGACTTGAGGGAGGTTAGGTGATCCTGGGTGACCAGGCCAGCAGGTCACAGCTCTTTCTGAACAGATGAGAGCCTGGGAGGGGAGGGTGCTGCTGGTATTTGCAGGGTGCAAGATTGGCTCTACCAATAGGCAAAGTGAGGCAGCTGCCTCAGGCAAAAGATTTTCATTGCCACAAAAAGCCCACAAACTGTTAGCTATTTGTTATGGTATTTTTTACAGAACTGCAATACAGAGCAAAATGGAAAAGACACTTGCAACAGCCTCCTCTAAGTTGGTGCCATGGGAGAGGTAGATGCAGGCCTCACCTCAGTTCTCTCACACAACCTGCTATATTAAGGGGATCCCTGAGGGCATTTTGCCCCGTGCCCCAAGCCTTCAAAAACATGCTCAGATTTCCCTGCAGTGAACAATGAGGTGAGAAGTTATGTGATAATTGTGTACTGGTAGTATAAGGAACAGATGACTTGTGAAATGCCACTAGCTTCTCCTGCAGTGGCCAAGAACCTCAGTGGAAATTTAAAACAAATATAGCAGACGGAAGAGGAGTACATTCCATATGTGGTGGCAATTCCACCCTTGCATAGTGTGGCATCATGATGCTCCACTTCTGACCACAGTATCTCTGGCCAGGGGCAACAGTTTTTCTTTCATAGTTTATTTGTGGTACTGAAAGGCAGGCAAAACCAGCCCAACATATTTTGGAGAGGGTGCTTTTTTTAAAACAACAACAACAAAACACTCCTACATTTATGACATTTAATTCAAAGTCTACATGTGAACATTTCTGGCCAAATCACTGTTTCTATCCCAGCAAGTGTAACAGGAGATTCTGCACTGATGACCTAGCAAGGTTAGAAAGTAAGGTTCCCTGTATTTACACCAGGGAGCTTCATACTGCAACAGGTATGTACCCTCAGGAGTCAAGTTGTTTGCTCTGAAGCAGCTTTCTATTGCTGCTGCTCTTGTTCTGGCTGTTCCTGCAGTTTCCTCTCTTTTTCCCACGGGCCTTTCTTTTTTTAGTGGCTCCTTCTCTTTGGCTGCTGCACTGTGTTCAATTGGTGCTGTTGTTCTAGACTGTTCTTTTACAATAAGGCAGTCCCTCAGTTAAGCAGCCATTTTGGCCCACCTCAATTGAACGCAGCGCCACCTGTGGTTGAAATAGCAGTACAATAGCAGTACAACTCTAGGTTACACCCTGTCAGGTCTGAAGCTGCTTATTAAATCTCTTTATCCTGATGGATTCACAACGTAATGGAAAGTCCAAATGTGAAGGAATCGTGAGGTAGCAAACCTTTTATCGTACAAGACCACTGTAGCACAAAAACAAGCGTCTCCCTTCTAACTTCTATCGGACACTGTTTCTTTTATCCTTCACTTTGTCTTGCACTCTTGTGGGTTTTAAAATCTCATTTTCCATTACATGTGATTTTGACAGCAGGCTTTGTGTAGATATCTTGCTGAGGTCACTTATGGAGCCAATTACATGGAAATTGCTCCCAGTTTGGATGTTTGTTTGGTATTCAGTTGATGTTTTGTCTGTTAATTCCGGAGAGGTTTCCTTCTTAGGCGTGTTAAAGGCATCTGGAGGTGAAGAAAGTCAAGGTGATATTTTTTTCTCCCTCCACCATAGAAATGTGAAATAAACTGAAGTGCCAGGTCAACAAAATCCAAATATACCAGAAGACAGAGACAGGAAACTGTAACGAAACAATAAAACTCGCTCTTCGATTTTGAAACATCAAAGGCCTTGTAATGAGGAAATGTATGACAGGGAACAGGAGTTTATAAATAGAAGAATTGTGGGAAATGTCACATTAAAAATGGGCTTGACATTCTTACGAGATGTATGTTTTGCTTAAAATCCTAGGTGTGCAGAAGTCCGTGCCCCAAAATGACTTCAACAAGGCCCAGAATTCACTCGTTCCAAGAGACTCCATCTGACAAGGTTTGCTCTGCATGGCAGAGGGTGAGTCACAGACTGCGGTTCTTTTGTGCCATATTCCTGCCTGTGCAGGGGGTATTCCTTAGGTATTGTATACATTTAAGATGGCTGGCTACCAGCGACTTTTCTCATTTGGAGAAACAAGTAGCTGTAGGAGCAGAAATGTTTGAGGTGATGCCTACGGCCAGTTAGTGCCAGGGACAAGGCAGATCATTAAGCTTAAGCTGCTTTCTCCTCCTCCTCCTTCGTATATGTCTCAAGGAGATGTACAAAATATAATAAAAGTAAAAACAGCACAGAAAATGAATGATTTTTTAAATTAAAAAAATACATACAAACCAGACACTCGGGGCAGAGACCTATGCGTTCAGTGGGAACGAAAACTAATTCAAATTTTTCCAGGAAGTGCAGGCAGTGGGTGCCTGTTGTTTCTCAATTTTTTCAGCCAGCCCCAGCCTGCTGCAAAAGAGGGAACTTCACAAAAATTCAATCCTGTATCTGTGTGGTGTTTTGGCGCTAAAGCTGACCTCACAAGCAATTAGACTTCCTAATAAAGCATAATCTTTTTGGCAAGAACACAGGGAGCTGCCTTCCACTGAGTCAGACCTGCTGGTCTATCCAGCTCAGTATTGTCTACACTGACTGGCAGTCGCTTTCCGGGATTTTATACTGGAGGGAGATGCCAGGGATTGAACCCAGGAACCTGGGACTTCTGCTTGCAAGGCAGATGCTATACTGCTTGAGCTATGGCTCTTCTTATAACTTGTTTTAATCCCCCCCCCTTTTAAGGCACGTTGCCTTAAAATACACCATGTTTATTAATATAAGGGACACCAGCAAGTAATGATCAAATCCTTAAATCACTAATACTGATTGTGCCAAATGAAGTTGCTGAAGTTTCCTCAGTTCAGTATGGAAATTTGTTCAGCTTGTCATGCTCAGCAGTGTTACAAATTGACTTCCATTTGGAATCATTTTCTGGCTCAGAATGTTGATGCAATTCTGCACATGCACACAGTTCTGTTTGCAGCGACAGCCTAAACAGTATGGGAGCTCTGACCTAACGTAAAAGTTAGGTTTCCTGAAATTTTGCAGCCCTGAGCTGGATTGGAGGACCACATTACTAATTTCTGTAAACAAGGAGATGAGGTCATTTTAAGTATTTTTGTGTGTTGTGTACTTAAATGTCTTGTTTAGTTTGACCTTTACTTTTCTGACAACACCTGTATACTTTCATGTTCTGCATGAAGTCGTTTCTGGCACTCGATACTCTGTGAAACCTAAGCAAGGTAGGAGGAACCTTGCTAGAGTGTGATTTTTCATTTTTAGCACTTTCCATTGCTTCATTGTGCATGTTTCTCATGCTTAATATTCTCAGTCTTTCCTCAACTAAATTCTTAGTTGTTTCCTGCCTTTTCTTGCTAGGTTTCCCTCATTTGGACTAATTTACAAATGCATGCGTATCTTTTGAAGTCTCACCACTTACAACTCAGTCTTATGGATGTCTACAGTTTATTCCTATGCACATTTGCTCAGAATTTGTAAGCCCATTAAGATGCGTGGGGCTTACTTCAGGGAAAGTGTCTAGAGGACTACAGCCTACATGACTCTTCCTTTGATGATTTCAGCTGAATGTAGAAGCTACCTCCATTAGAAAGCTCCATGTTTAAGGTAGTCTTCACTGTTAAGATAGCTTTGCCTGTAGTGTGTGATATGTGGTGGCACTCACTGAATGATAAATATGAATGTGTGAGCTTGCTCTTAGCTAAAAGGAGATCTTAGAATCAATGATCTGTGGGCAAAGTTGCTGCCATAAAGAAAAGCAAATGTAATGTAAGTATAATCTAAAATTATAAAAAGTAGTCAAAGTATTATAGTTTCCTTAAATAAATCTGTGCCAGATTTACCCTGCAATTATGAGGCACAAGGAATAGCATGTGGCTAGCAAGGGTGGGGCGGGGGATCTTGGTTTCTCTCAGTTTCTCAGTTCCCCAGTCTTAAATTCTGTTCTCCACATTTCCACATCAGTTTGAGATTTTTTTTAAAGTCCTCATGAAAATTAATCAGCATTTCAGTGCAAATTATTTCAAACATATACAGTTTTCTGTGGAATTTTGGATAAGACATGCATGTTTGCAAACCATTTTCCCAAATACAAATCTTATTATATACCATAATAAGATACACAATTATTTTTGCGAATGTTTTCATTTATTTACACACTTTCCCCTAGTATATACTTTTGGGTACACATTTACTTGCCTGTAGAATTACATTGCAAAATTTGGAGAAGCGCAGATTTCAAAGTGTGGCTGTGTTTCAGTTTGTTCATTGTGTGAATTAGATAGGCTCATTTTAAAATGTGAATTAAGTCAAATTTCTCCACCACCTCTGCTTGTGGCACACCATGCTCATAACTAAAAAGAATTACTTTTAGAGTGTCTAAAAATTAGAGCGCCCAACCTCAGGGGAGCCTGGCCCCTTGAGCTTCTGCATGAGTCATTGGACTGGCATGTTTCCTTAGAGGGCAGGTGATTCTGCTGCAACATGAATGACTGAACGATCCAATCACATAGCACAGATGCAGGAAAACGTCTAACCCCCAGCAGAGGTTAACTGATGGCAAGGCCGAAGCAGCAAATCATACAATGATGCAGTGGTAAGACCTCTGTCGATGACCCCAGTGGGGCTCAAAGAAGCCTTTAATTAGTTTGTTTCATGTGATGTAGAGGGAAGTGAGGGGCAGATAAGGCTCATCATCAGCCTGAGAAAGTAGCCCATCTAGGACAAGGAAAACACTGACCCTAAACCTCTGCTGTCTTGCATGGTATCTTCCGGAGAAGAAAAGGCTAGAGAGTAAGCCCTACACAAATCCAGAGTGGAGTCCCTCCGATGGTTAGATGGTGCCTTGTACTCTGCCTTTCAGCAGTTGCTGCAGCCAACTGGTGCCAAATGTATTTGTCTGCTTTCCTTTGGAGCACCTCAGTGAGGCCGAGAGGAAAGTATTTTTGACTGGGGAACCTGGGACCTCCATACACACTGCCTTGGCTTGTGTCCTGAGGGGGGAACTTTGGTGCTGATAACACAGCAGTTTGACTTTGTCCCTGGAGACACACTCCATTGTCTTTTGAGTCAGACAAATGCCAACAACTGGCACTTTTCTCCTGGCATGCAGCTTGGAATGACTGAAACGAAGCCCTGACTTTCCCCCCACCATTTTTGTGCAAGGGGTCATTGAGTAGACTGAGAGTGGATAGGCAGAGGAAAGTCAGGGATATATGCCCCATGTCCACTTCCCTTTATTCAATTCTGTATTGCTCACTTCTTCAATTGGATACAGATGTCAAGAAATATTTCTGAAGTGAAAACATATGCTGCTGGAGTGGGGTGGGGGCACATTTGCTAGTTAATTACTGTCAGCTCTGGAAATCTGGAGGCTGTTGGGGTGACTCCTGCATGAAGAACAGTCACACATGCATGTGCGAGTGTGTGCTCATGCAGGCACATGCATTCATATGTACACCTGGAATATACCACATGCAGCCAGCCACCTAGTAGTTATGGCTGCATACTCTCCTGTTATGATGTAATAATAAGCCAGAATAGGTGGCTTTGAGGCAATTTACTGGTCTACCCAAACTTGTCTTATGTTCTTAAAAGTTGCAGCTCAGTGTGGCAGAGGGAATATTTTTTTAAAACTCTGCAGATAAAGGCCCTTGAAGATGACAGAAAAAAGGCTTCAAACTCATGATCCTGGCTTGGTGGATGATGATGGTGGAGAGAAGCATAACACTGTGATTAACCCACTGATCTAAACTTTGGTCTATAGAGCAAGCCTTCCAGTTTGCACATTTAATAAATTATGATAATAATAATAATAATCAGGATACACAAACAGAAGACATTGGCATTTAGTGTTACATTGATTGGGCTCCCCCTCATCAGGGAACATTTGTCAGGAACTTCTGTTCTGAGCTTGGTGTGCTACCACCAGCACCCTACAAAAGTAAATCACCCAGGCAATCACTTCAACACAGGAACCTAACCAGGCTTATATTTTAACACTTGCTGGATCTAGGAGTTAGAAGGGTCTCACATATAGCCTACTTCTTCCCCTTCAAACTCATAGCAGTATAGAGAGAATATGCTGTGTGTCTGAGGAATATAGGGGAAGGATTTGTACAAAAAGGTATGGAGTTCTCCATCACAACCTTTTCTCTCATCTATGAACTTTCTGGAGATAATAAATCAGAGAGTATCCTCAGGAGTTCAGAATCTTTAGAAGAGTCTTTTCCATTGCACATTTGTTTCACAAAACTGTGGCTGGCCTTTGCGCCTGGTCAGCCCACAGACTTGTGCACATTAGCTTCTGTGTATATTCAGGTGTCAGGTGCAGAAGATAGCTACTGTGCAACCTTGTAGACAGCTGCTATTTACTGTAGCACAAGGTTTTGGTTTGGGAAAAGATTGGAGCAATTGGGTGGGCAGGGAAAAAGTTTTTAACCTTACGTTAAAACTGGTTTGGTTTAAAAAGAAAGACAAAAAAAGTATCCAGAGGGGTAGCCATGTTAATCTCTTGCAGCAAAAACAACAAAGAGTTTGGGGGCACTTTAAATACTAACACATTTAGTATGGCATAAGCTTTTATGGGTTACAGTGCACTTCAACAGATGCATGAAATGTTATTTTGAATTGTAGGTACATATGTACATGGTCATGGGATGGTTTGGGGAGGACTGTATACAGAGGTCAGAAGGGACTGAAATGCAGAAAAGTACAGTCACTGATATTTACTTTATTAACAATGACAATTCTCTCTCTCTCTCTCTCTCTCTCTCTCACACACACACACACACACACACATTGATAACAAAGGCATTCCAGCATTGGAAAGCCTTTTTCATAATACAATTATGGACTTCCCTGTCCCCTCTGGTCGGGGACAGAGGGTGGCGCTTGGGGGGGAATTGTCATCGCGCCACTCCTTGGTGTGTGGAGTGCCTCAGGGTGTGATACTCTCCCCGATGCTTTTTAACATCTTTATGCGCCCCCTCGCCCAGCTTGTCCGGAGTTTTGGGCTGGGTTGCCACCAGTATGCCGATGACACCCAACTCTATCTGTTGATGGATGGCCATCCTGACTCAGCCCCAGACACACTGACCAGATGTTTGGAAGCTGTGGCTGGATGGTTACGTGGGAGCCGGTTGAAGTTAAATCCTTCGAAGACAGAGGTCCTCTGGCTCGGACGGAATGATATGGGATTGAGGGGGCAACTCCCATCTCTTGCGGGAGTGCAATTAGTGCCAGCACCGTCCGTTAAGAGTTTGGGTGTAATCTTCGATACCTCCCTCTCTATGGAGGCGCAGATTACAGCTATAACAAAGGCGGCATTTTTTCATCTCCGCCAAGCTAAGCAGTTGGCCCCTTATCTCTCTCGCCCTGACCTAGCCACTGTGATCCACGCGACGGTCACCTCCAGACTGGATTATTGTAACTCGCTCTACGTGGGGCTGCCCTTGAGACTGACCCAGAAACTCCAGCGGGTGCAGAATGCCGCGGCGAGACTCCTTATGGGGTCTTCGCTGCAAGATCACATTCATCCGGTACTATACCAGCTGCACTGGCTCCCGGTGGAGTACAGGATCAGGTTTAAGGTGCTGGTTTTAACCTTTAAAGCCCTATACGGCCTAGGAACCCTGTACCTACGGGACCGCCTCTCCTGGTATGCCCCACAGAGGAACCTACGGTCTG